CTCTGCCTGATGCAGTCTGTAGGAAACGTTCTCCCTGAATAAAGTTTGGTTGAAAAGCTGCAGGATGTCCTGGAAAAAGGTTGAAGAACTGATTTTTTGTTTGTCTGTTTGCAGCCGACAGCCAAGCTGGAAGCGACACCAAACTGACTGTGGAGGACTTGTTCAGAGCTGAGTTCCAGGTTCACGACCCGGAGGCCAAGTGGATCAACGGTGAGTTCTTCTGCCACGATGTGAAGTCAGGACGTGGTTCTGAGCTTTGCTCCTCAGTCTCTGAATGATCCAGAGTAAAGTGCTTCCTGCCGCTCTCTGCTGCTCACATATTTGCTCCAAATGCTCCTCAACTTCTTCCTGACATCAGTGACAACATGTTGAGATCTGAGTGATGCTTTATGGGAGCAAAGAGCAGAGCGAGAGCAGCATCAGATCAGACGTCTCCCATCCTGCATCTCATGCAAACGCAGACGTTCAGGTTTATTCTGCTCTGCTGTTCGCCGTCGCATTGATTCCTGACTTACCAGAAACAGGCTTGATGCTGTAAATAAACAGCCTCCGCTGCAGGGGGAGTAAATCAGTTTATAGGAAGGCTGAGGAGCAGAGCTCTGATGGACGGTGCACCTCCTTTGTTTGTCTGTGCTTCTCCTCCAGCTGCCAGTTAACTTCGTGGATCTTGGTAGGGGGGTGGGGTGGGGAGGAATGGGGGGCGTCTCATTTCAGAGCTGACCTGAGGCGAGACGCTGCCTGCATCGCTGCTGCGCAGTCAGGCGGTCAGAGAGGCGGCTTTATGGGGTGGATGGATGGATGGATGGAGAAAATAGACGTCAGACAAACGGGAGAAGATAAGAGAGAGACGGGAGAAAGGGAAGATGGATGACTTGGATTTAGAGAAAAATTTGTTTCTTTTTCTGCCGTAAACCAAAAGCTTTGCAGGTTTTCTTTCTGCAGGATATTTTTCTGTCAGTCGGTTCATCATGTGATCCTCTGAATAATGAAGAGCAGCCGGGATGGAGGAACATTCAGACATCCCTGTATTCATTTATTCTCTGGGTTTAGACGTTTATTAAATGTAAAGATGTCTGGATGCAGTAATGTAGCAAATATCTGCTAGACCATCAGAGTCAAGCCGTAAAACAGGATTTTTTCATGAAGACACAGAGGGTCTGAATTCATGGGCCGCGTCCTCCAAGGACCTGGTCTACCTGGACCGGAGCCTTCCAGGTCTGTAAAAATAAGCAG